TGCTAAAGAGAATCTTTCAAAAGCTTCTGTCCCCATCCCTGCAGGGAATTTCACAACCCAATATTTCTGGATCAGACTTCATCATGCAGGTCATCATTTCAATTTATTAGTGCCTTGGAGCTTTTGGTATTCTCAGTTAGGATGGTGTCATGTCCATCAATCACTAGGCTGTTTCCACATTCCCAATTTTCTTTCACCTCCTTCAATCTTCATAAAGGTTCTATAACTTTACATGGGTGTGTACTAGCCACAGAAAACTCTTACTCATGTTTTAGGCACAGGAACTGCACAAATTATGAGGGCCTTAAGAAGCATTTTCATTCTAGATCCTGTATATTATTATTTGTATTAAAGGAGAGGTAACAGATCTACCAGTGTCTGTTTGAACTATAAGCATGGCAAACCAAAAAGCAATATGATGCTTTTCCTGGAAAGCTTATAGTTCAACCAGAAACTAAATGTTACACGTAATGAACAGGACCTGACAAAGAAAAGGGGAAAGCGGGACTCTAGAGTTATACTACTAATTTCATCATAGAAAACATTGGTCTGGCCAAGCGACTGAAAGAGCAATTAGATCAACACAAGGCAGACTTTGAAAAGAGCCTTGAAGGAAAGGGCAAGAATTATTATTTTCAGTGAGCAGAAAACATAACAAAAAAAATTAGCAAAAGGCTTTAAGGAAGGGGGAAACAAACTGTGGATTTCCCTGCTGCTTCCTCATCTCTCTAAAGGCGCAGCATAATCCTGGCTTTGAAAATATACACCACTGAAATCCCATCAAAACCCACACCAATCTAAGTATAGCACTTAGGAAGAAAATTATGAGACACAGCAGCCTTGAGACTACTGAATTTGCTGTACCAATTACCTATCTGCAATATTGCACATTCTCCAGCCAAATACCATTAGTGTGGTTCTCAAAGCAATTCACAGACACTTACATTCAAAGACTCAAACCTGAAGTCCAGTACTTCAGGTCCAGAGATAAGTAGACAAACAGTATGAAAGAGCAATCTGCTCTTTCTGCGAGTTTAAATAAACCCCGGACTCCACAGTTCAGGTTAAGATTTCTAAAGAATCCAAGCCAGGTGGATTGATTTAACACATCATTAAAAAAAACACCTGGGAAAGAAAAATATGTACATCAAAAACTAATCGTGAGACAATCTTCTCAGTGTAAAATAATTAGTGGAATGTGTGACATACAATACAGTTTCTGCATGTATACCCACACTGCCACCATCAGCCTTGCTTCCTCATTTATTTAGGTGAACCTGTGACTGGCAAACAGGCACTTACTTACTCATGGATAATAGTGGAGGTGCTTGAGCTGCTGGAAACTTCAACATTGCTGCAGAACAGAGTATGTGTTCATGCGTGTTTGTGCAATGGGTGCTCGCTGTGCAATATTATCTTGTCTCTACAGATAAATTAACTGCATCATGCTCCTGCCAGCTTGCTTTGTTTAGCCTTTACAGAGTGCAGAATACACAGAGTTTCTTGTGATTGAATCTCACATAAAAGGTAAACCTGAGAGTTTATTCTGTGCTACGCTATACATCCACCAAGGCAGCTAGGGCACTTGCTGACTTGATGTTGAAAAGAAGGCTACAAAATATACCAGGGAAATCTTGGAACGTCACTCACTTGACATAGTAATAAGAGCCCTGCATTAAGATGCAGAGCTGATTTCCCTGATCCATGAAATTGCCTGGATATTAAAGTTTTTCTCAAACAGAATCAGCACAAAACTCTCACCCTCCATTCCTGGCACAAGGACACCGTGGGTTTTCTGTTCACCAAGAAAAACAGAGCTCAAAATTGCAGAGATAAGTATTTTTTAAGAGAGGACCTTAAGATACTTTCTTTCATTTCTCAAGTAAGAAGAAATAAGTATTCAAATTGTCTTTAATGCTGGAAGATGGTTATGCTTGCTGACACATTCCTCAGAGATGTTCAGGTTCTCTGTTACAAGTTTGTAAAATCGTCTCTTCCAATAAAACACAAAGTATGTAAGTCTGTGACCACCTTTGGAGGCGGATGTTGTGCCTCTTATAAATAGGTGAAAGGGCTGGAATAGACACAGTCTGAGGACAGCTATGAAAAATATTATGAAGGAATATATTGTATTATTTTATGGTCTGAGACCCAGGACATGGGTCAAAATTCATTAGCAAATGTCTATTTCGAGCTGCTAAAGGGTAAACAAAGACCCATCTACACTTCAGAAGTATTAGTGAGCTGAGGATCAGGTATAATTTCTTCCAAGGACCCATCCAAGGCAAACACACAGACTGCAATAATGGGGGAGGGACCATAACCTTACCTACAATGCAGTCCTGCAGGCTCTGCTAGCTTAGATTCAAAGTAGGACAGTTATCCACAAGGAAAGGAACACAGTAGTAATGGAGCTATGCGTTAAACAGCTTCCCATTAGGTAACTAGACAGGTTTTAGTCCAAGAGGCTTTAAAGAATCCTGACACTACAGTACATGATAAATCTGACTGAAACCTGCCCGCACCAGCACAACGAACATGTAGCAGGGGCAGACAGTCTCACCACTGATTAATATCCAAAATCATACTGGAAGGGTAAGCTCTTAGACGTGGCGCATGCATTGCACACAGAATTTTCGTAGCCTCCATAGCAAAGAGAGGCTCAAGCTGAGGTCTAAGATTTTTCCTGGACATGGGTTTCCATTCCTGGTTGACAAAGAATTTCCTAACCTTTTTCATGTAAAACTTCTCAGGCAGATTTTGTCTTCAGCTAGATGATAGTTCTGCCCATTTTGTTGTAAAACTTTGCACTGACCTGTTTAACAGCCAGTACTATTCCCCTGCTTCCTGTAATTCTTTTCCTACACAGCACACACAGTAGCCTGTATCTATACAGGTATCCAGAATTACACAGCACATGGAAAGGACTCCTGAAGCCACTTGATACATGATCCCATTCAAAGCAAGAACAGCTACACCTAATTAGCCCCTGACATATGCTTGCCTACACTACTGAAACAGAGTTTCCCCAAACTCCCAGTGATGTTTTCTGTGAGGCTTTCCTATTTTTACTATTAGAATGTTTTTCTAATGTTTAGCCCATTACAGAAATTTTAATTAAAAGTTCCCTTAGAGGAAGACAGCATTACTGTGCATTGTTGTACATGAAAACACGCACAGAAACACATGACACATTGAATTTAAGGTTCCTAAATTATATGTAAATAACACAGTAGGTTTTCAAATTTTCTGATTCAAACAGTTTAAATGGAACCATCTATTTATGTATCTACCTGATTTCCAATTTAAAGAAGATCTTGATCATAGTAATTTCTTCCCCAATTCAAGTTTTGAAAGCTCTCAGTTCTCTGAAGAGAATAACTGTTGGCATTTTTAGATGACAAGCATTCCAAAGTGAAGATGATAAGCATCCCAAAGTGAAGATGATAAATTAGTGTTGTCCAATGATGCAGAAAAGAAGACAAATGCAAACTGTTAATCTCTGATTTAAGAATAAACACTCTTTATTACAGAATCTAGGGGCTCTCAGCTGTAAGGCCGGGTCATTTTCATCTCGCTGCTTATTAGAAGTGTGAGAAGGAAGCACAAAGGGTGGCTACCATTTTACAATATATTAGACATATTAACCCTTAATACTCTTTGTCTCCAGGAGGAATAAAAAATGATACAGAATCTCTTGCCTTTTTTAGACCTACATAAGCATTTGTTACTGTTCACAGTCACAGAGGATGCGAATTTTTACATCTATTTTTGCTTATTCATATTAGGAAGTCTTCAAAAGTTTAATATAATCATTCCTGTATCATTTTCCTTACACATAAAAACCAATTGTCCAAGTTAGTAAAAGAAATCCTGTGATCTGCTTCTTAAAACATGCTGGTCTTAATGACAAAACTTGTATCAGAATGTATTTAAATATAAATATTTCACCTATCAACAGGCATTCCCAGTGAACCCCACCCAAGGCACTCCAAGGAGGAACCTGTTTTGTCATAGTACTGAAGTAAATTCTATTACATTCCTTCATCACTCCTCAGCTTCTCAGAGCTTGGGAATTTTCTGATTCCTTTTTCCCTCTCCCCATTACCTTTCTTCTATATATTCAAGGCAGGCAACAAAAAGAAGTAGGAAAGATAAGGTCAATGCAGCAAAGTGGAAAGAAGTAAAATGTTTCTGTACACCATCATTTGCTTGTTAGTTATCTTAATCAACCCAAACAGCTTCTTTGAGACATCTAATTTGAATTCACAAAGTGCTAACCCACAGCCATATTTGACTTTCCTTTGATTCCAAACGTGAAAATAGCCTTTATCTAATGTTCAGGCATAAAATCTAACTACACATGCATTTGCAGTATGAGACAGTGAAACATGGCTGAAGAGTCATCTTAGATGTTATCTATGTTATTACTTAAGTGGAGAGTATAACCATAAATCCTTCTCTTCCCCTCCACCCCCATCTTTTTTTCAGAAGTACACTTAAAATCTGTGTTTAAGCTTCACTAGCCCCATTACATTTGAACTTCAGTAACAAGAATGTGATATGAATATACAGAGAGAAAGCTTAGACAAAAAGGTATGTTTTCATAGTGTGGTTCAGTCTGTTCCTATAATTAGCTACAACTCATTAGGCAATAAAAAGACAAACAAAGAGATTATGAATAGAAGGGCAATATTTTCTCCATAAAACAAACAAAAGGCTTAAACAGATGCCTCTTTTCTAAGGCTCTTCTTGCATAAATACACCCAGCAGCTTAGAGATGTTTTTATGATTGAAATTTTTTTTCCTAGAAGGAAAACCTGTAAACATTATCCTGTGCAAATTCAATAAAAACTATTTACAGCTATTGTACCCTTGGGATTTTTTAATCTCAAGTATAAAATAATGATACAGCAATGGTCTGCAGATGACTAGCTTTGATTTTTTTCTTAGTTCTTATAATTGTCTCTTAATTTGTATTCTACATAATAAACACTCACCTTCACCGTCTGTCCAGCTTCAGGACCATCCTGTAGGCAAAGAGAGAAGTTTCAGGTTAGAGGACGTCACAATGATCACACAGGAATACAGAAAATCTTATTCAATAATAATTTACACTGAATTGTACTGTATGCTAATTTAGCATATTTTCCTGGGCGCCATTCAACACAAAGGTTTTGGACAAGTCATCTTTCCATCTCAGGCCATGGCAAAGTGAGAGCCACATCTTAAGACCATAAAACCAACAGTTGCCATTTTTCATTCTTTCAGATCATGTTTTTGAATAGTTAGATTTCTGATCCTGTAAATATAAAATCATACCTGTGAGAATTTAATCAAAGAATGCTTGCTTAAATTCTTATTCTAATGAAATAGGCTTAGTCTCCTGATTTCTTGAAACAGAGCTCTTTTTTTTTTTGGCCTGAAAGCACCCAGCAAAAATAACTGAAAGGTCAGAATTGATAACATATTTACATGGCTACATCTCTCTGCCTTCAAATAAATAGCTGTGAGCAGGAATTACCCATTTCTATCACAAGCAGTGGGTTACCTGCTGAACAGCGTGATGTGGCTGCCTTCTCTAGGTCAATCCTGCAAAGACTTCTTTGAAGGAAGAGTATTTGCTGAAATACTAACAAGCAAGCACTGCATTTGGGAGCATTTGCAGGCTTATTCCAAAGTTTTGCAGTTAATTAATTATCCACACTTTGCTGGTTTGTCTTTTAGGTTTCTTTCAATGGCAAATCTGGCAGACTGCAATGCAGTCATTGTGCTGCTTTTTTATCATTATTATTTTGCATTTATTGCCCCCTGAAGTTTGAATGTCCTTTTGTCATTGGGCTAGGGAAGAAGGTTGAAAGCTTGGTAAAACAAACCATTAAACCTCTTTTAGTTACCCGGTTTACAAACCTGAACTGAAATGGTGAGTGAGGTGCCGCAGAAGTGTTTCTCCACCACATTGCCAACCCTTTGTGCCACACAAAATAAATCCGCCACTTCCTCAGGACACAAGTCACGGAAACGCTCCACCGGCCGCAGAGGACAAACAAGGACATCTGAAGGTGTTATTGTCAAGGCACAGATGCAAGTTTGAGTGATCCAGAATGAAGTGTCGCAATCCCCAGCCCATACCCACTTCTGATGACCTTTGAATTGCCTAAACTCTTCTCCAAGGATTATAGCTACAGCAACCACAGCACACGGCTAAATACAGAGAATCATATGATACTCAGATGCTTTGTTCAGAAGATTCCTCAAATCCCTCAGATATGGGCAAAATGACTAAATTAAGCTCCAGCAGGTGTCATTGCTCTTGGCAGGGGGGTGGGAACTACATGATCTTTAAGGTACCTCCCAACCCAAACCATCCTATGATCGTGTGATGTGTTAAGAGTGAAACATCTTAAGGAAATCAAAGTTTTCAGACTCCACTTTGATAGGGAGATGCTCATATTTAACACCTCTGAAAGTCTGAGACATTTCCTTTTGTGATTAAAAATGGAGGAAAGCCAAAGGAATTTATGATGGGTCTGCTTGTATGATCTGAGACAGCAGTTTTACAATTCTTTTCCACATATGTGGTATGTACTTTTGAGAATCTTGATCTTGCACCTCTAATTTTAGGTACCTAAATGTGAAAAGCTGACCATAAGTTTACAATAGCAGATTTCTTAATTCTACATCCCATTCAGAGGGAACATTCACCTGTTAAAAATATTATGTCCTTAGAAATACATTAAGATAATTAACATTATTCCCTTTTAAGCACAGTGTTCACAACACTATAAATACACTTTGGTTTTATTCTAGCTTGGTGACTGCACTTCACAAGTCAGTGAAATGGAGCTACAAAGTACACAATAGAAGTACACAGACACTATTCACTATATCTGATCTGTTGTGCTCACAGAAATCAATAACTGCCATGATTCCTCACTTGAAAGTTGATTTTGTAACATTATCAATAAGGTCCAGAATAGCAGAGTTTCAGTTGTACAAATCTAAAAGGCAGGGACCTGGGACTTGATTCTTATTTCAATTCCCCTCAGACAGGACTTTTTTTCTGACATACAGTATTGTGTTTGCAGTATAAAGACTTTAAAATCACCTTTAACACCACTTGAACTTTCATGAGCAAGGGCTATGAAAATTAACAACTTATTTTTTTCAGTATTAAGGCAGGTGTTCAAAGGACTAACTCAAGAAAATTAAGTTCCATGCCATTGTATTAGTCATCTTTATTTTTATTGCATCTTGAAGCCTTCAATTATTCAGGAATATTTTCTGTACTCCAGGAAAGGTAACTCGCAGGTGCTCTGTAGTTAACAGGTTCACACAAAGGTTACATCAACCTGATTTTCAAGACTCACATTTGGAATAAAGATGAATACATTCAAGAGATGGTGTCAGAACTAGATGATCTTAAGGTTCTTTCCAACCTAAACCATTCTATGATTTATTTCCATAAACAGAGAGACAACATGTTTACCTTCACTTAGTTTATTGTAGGCATTGCATTTATAATTATGACTGGAGAGAAACCCAGACATCTTCTGGAAGTGAAGAAGTAGGGTAGGTTTCGATCATTTTCCAGAGTCCAGATGAGGACAGACAAGACTGTAATGGGTATTTGCTAAAGCCGGAGCAGATATTTTGAGCAAGCTCCCAGCAGAAGAGGACAAGACTGGCCCCCTGGATGTGGGTATTAATCTGCATTGAAAATCTGCCCTCTTTCCCCCCCATCAGCTATGCCATCAGTATTCTTTTCTTCTTGTTACAACTTACGGTATTAAAGTTTAAGAAGGGAGAATTATGTATTTAGAAAGCAGGTAATTGGAAATAAACCAATCCTGGATGGGGACAAAAAGCCTAGTTTTGTGGGGTTTAGTTCTAAAATACTGTGCCTGTTGGCAAGCTATTGGGCATAATAAATCTCCTGTAATTCATTTGTGCCTTCCCAGCACACTATACAAAGCACCTCCATAAAGGATGCTATTGGCTCAACTTAGGGCCCAAGGGAAGTGCTGGAAACTTGCTTGGCAGACCTGATTTCCATACCAGGAATAAAGGAAAAGAAAACTAATTAATTTTACTCATAAAAAGGAAATCCATGTCAATACTAAAACAGGAAAAAGGACATTCGCTTAATCCGAGTTCATTTTTCAAAAGGAGAGAAGGGAAGCTTTTACCCTTAGGGCATCTAATACTTAAGTAGATAATTATCCTTCTTCTGCAGCACTGCTTTATTATCATGGGTCAATGAACCATTTATGAATGAAGAATTTCACTTCACTTACCTCTAAGCAAAACTGCTGGTTACATTAAGACAAGTTTCCTTTTCTCCATCAGAATTTTTTCCCAGCAGTTTCTCACCCTCTCAGTCTCGCACATGCCAAGCAATTGCTTGCTCTCTATCTAGCTCAGGGCCACAGCCACAAGTATGAGTTTTTGCATTAATCATGGATTCTTCACCCTCCTGTTAACACTGCACTACTTGCCACTGTGATGCATTGTGAAAAACGTGGGCTAAATGCTGCTTGGGAGAGCTTTTTTTTCCATAGCACACAGCAGAGGGAGAGTGTGCTGGTTGTGACCAAGACAGGACATCTGTTTTCTCTTCTTAATTCTGCCACTAATCTGCTCTGTCATCTGAGCAAGTTGTCTCTGTACCTTTCTTTCTCTTCTATCACATTTTATCTGTCTTATCTGCTTAGATAGCATTTGCAGTTGGTGCAGTGGATGTTTTCCTATTAAGCCACGAGGCTCTTTGCTTGTGTGGGGCTGCAAAGCACTCCCACAATATCAAATGATGTGCCCATAAACCACGTTGCTCTGCAAAAAGGATTTTCACTTCCTCCTTACATTACCAAGACTCATTTACAACTCAAACTAGATTTTAACCATATTTCTGTCTTTCAATGGTGATAAATAATTCAAAGGCACAATCACACACTGGAGCATCTTTACTGAACTTTCCATCATTTCAAAATAATTCTACAAAGAATAGTGACAGAAATTCTGAATCAGAGCTAAATTAACATAAGAATGTAATTAGGACAACATTCAAGTTATATTTAACTATGAATACATAAAAAGGCAAATGTTTAAATGAATGAATAGATCTGAGGTCATTAGGAAAACAACCATCCACTGCAACTTTGAATCATAGTTTATGACTACAGTTTTTAACAGTAGGATAGTTTTTAACTTTGTATCCTGATCAGATTTCAATCTAGATAAATGCTCAATTCACCTCAAAATTCTTCCTAAGTTTAAAATTAGATAAACTGTTCATTGCTTTTTGCAACTACCCACTGCAAACACTGCTATGAACTACTACTGATGTGCTTCAGGTGACTGTGTATTAAAGGTGCAAGTGAAGTGAGTCTGTACTTATGTGTATGTGCAGTTACTCCTGAGACAGAAGCAGCTACTGCCACCTGAGATGCCTCAGGGCATACAGCTGTCACTCCAAGAAGGGCAGGAGTCTCCCATATGCCTTTTGTCCTATCTGTCAGCCAGGTGGGAAGCCTCAGCCATCTTAGGCTACCTGAAATAGCAGTAGGTGTCGATGTTTGGACAATGGCCCCCACCTTTACAGAGTGGCTTAGCAGAACAAGGGGCTGATACCCAGCAGACATACTGTATGAGTGAAGACAGCATTCTGTCTTCAGAAAGTTTGAACTTTATGTTTCCTTTCTCTAACCACCATAATTAATAACGTCATTATTTCTTTATTCAGTCTGAACTGCTACTGACTGATGAAGTTTCTATTTTTAAGCTTTGATGTGCACAGATGTTATTTCCTTCAAATTCTCTGAGTCAGTTCACATCATTAGAGTATATGCAATTTAATATGTCAATTTTAAGGACTGGAAAACCTTTACATCTTATTATAATCTGTGGTCATATATTCCCCTCTCTGGATCTTGCAGGAGTCTCTCAACAGCCTTACTTATTTTCCTAATACCTACATACGCATACACAAATCAACATGCATACCCTCACACACGCTAAAAGCTCCATTAAAGATTCATTAAACAATTAGGAACGTCAGTATTTTCCAAAGGCTACCAGTAGATAGTAGACTAAAACTCCAGGTATATTAGTGGAAGTGCATAACCATAAAGTAGCAGTAAAGCAACACTCGGTCAGACTCAATACCCTCAAGCTGGCCTAAAACCTAAAGGATAACCTATGATTTCAACAAAATCACTTACTCTTATATATCAGGTACAGCAGACCCCTCCCTGCACAACCTTGGGAAGGCTGTTTAACGCACTGAAGCCCGTGAGCCTCCTCCATAATTCAAATTAACAGCCTCTGCCTGTTGGTCCATTAAGATTGGAAAAGTCCATACTCACAGCCAAGAAAGAATGGTTCAGCAAGTTTCTCCACATCGGCAGATCAAGGATGCTGAAACACATGTGCCAGCTGTAGCCCTCAACAGTCAAGGCTGCACACATTAATGTAAATCTCTTTTACTCTTTCATTGCCTTTTTTGATCATAACGACTGGAGCCCTGTGAGACTGACATTCCAATGCAGTTACTGCAATGTGCTTCTCCAGTGGGCACTTTCAAACCTCTATACAGTTGTGCCAAGCACAGGTACAAATTCTCAAGGAAATAAGTATTGAAGGATATGCTCACACTGGAGATTATGGGGCACTATCAAGAAGTGAGCATTTGTTAAGCGCATAATAATTTTAAGTTGATCAGAGAGGAGAAAGAGCAAAACACATGGCCAACATTTGCATGCTGACCACTTCAAATGCAATCTTCCTTCCACTAAAACACAGAGTGGAGGCTGAAATTCAAAGGTACAGTAGCAATTTTTATTTGCTTTATCTGAATTTTGACTTTGAAGCCTAAATTACTGTAATTCTCTATTTAAGATCTAAGACAGGCTCTGTGCTCCCTTTAATGGGATTCTGATCAACCCCACAAAGTGCCCATTATAAATTTTCACACACAACATCAAGGTATACATGTTCTGTAGTTCTGAAATGTTGGGAAAACGGCCTTTTGGGGAGGGGGGGGGGGGTGTTAAAAAAA